AGAAGAAGAAGAAAAAGAAGAAAAAGAAAAAAAGAGAAGAAGAGGAAAGAAGAAGAAGAAGAGGAAGAAGAGGAGGAGGAGGAAAAAAGAGGGGAAGAGGAAAAATGGGAGGGGAGATAAAAGAGGGATAAAGAGGAGGAGATAGAGGAGAAGGAGGGGGGAAGGGGGGAAGGGGGAGGAAGAGGATGAGGAGATAAAAGAGGAGGAGATGAGAGGAGGAGGAGAAGAGGAAAAGGGGAAGGAGGGATAGGGGGGAGGAAGGGAGGTGGGGAGGAGAGGGAGGAGTAGAGGGGAGGAGGAGATAAAGGAGGAGGAGATGAGGAGGGGAGGGATAGGGGAAAAAGGGGGGGAAGAGGGGGATAGAGGAGGAGGGGGAGATGAGGAAGGGGAGGAAGGGGGAGATAGAGGAGGAGGGGGAAATAGAGGAGGGGGGAAGAGGGATAGAGGAGGAGGAGGAGGAGGAGGAGAATAATAGGTAATAAATTTGCCTTGAAATGAAAAACAAGTTTCCCCCGACAGTGACATAGATGAGATAACATTTGAAAAAGAGTGAGTTTGATGAGAATACGTGATATTTGATGGCTATCCCGCTTTTTTTTCACTGGTAAAAAAAATTGTCTGTCTGTCAAGCTCCATGTTATTGTCTTCCGTTTTGCTCTCTGTTCAGAGAGAGCCACAAGACTGTGTCACAGTTTACTCACTCTTCAAGCAGAGTATAGCATTTTTTTGGATTTTTGGGGTTTTTCCTAAAAATTTACACTATATATACTTGTTTTCTAGGGAGTAGGTTGTAACACAACCGCCCAGGGAGGTTACCCTCCTGCCAAATGAGTGACAACGAAAACCCGTTTGTTTTCATGATGGTGGATTGTGGTGCCTTTTTTTCTCATAAACATGCAAGATTTTAGGTATGTCTTTTACTTTACTTGCACTTAGGTTACACTACAATACATGTACAAAAATATATATACACACCCCTCTGGGTATTCTTCTATTTTCTTTCTAGTTCTTGTTCTTGTTCTTGTTCTTGTTTATTTCCTCTTATCTCCATGGGGAAGTGGAACAGAATTCTTCCTCCGTAAGCCATGCGTGTTGTAATAGGCGACTAAAATGCCGGGAGCAAGGGGCTAGTAACCCTTTCTCCCGTATAAATTACTAAATTTAAAAGAGAAACTTTCATTTTTCTTTTTGGGCCACCCTGCCTTGGTGGGATACGGCCGGTGTGTTGAAGAAAAGAAAGATACTCACAGGTACACACAAATATTTATGTGTACCTGTGAGACAGAGATAGATAGAGACTGATTGAGAGAGAGAGATAGACAGAGGTAGACAGAGATAGACAGATACAGAGATAGACAGAGATACAGAGATAGACAGAGATTGACAGACCCTAAACTTGGGGTTAACATCACTTTCCTCTTAAAAGAGGAATGTTAATATGACATTACATCCTTGGTGTTTTCCACACTGTTTGCTCTAGCTGGAGCTCAATTTAACTGGCGCTCCCACAAGGTACTAAGTGGTCCCAGATTTTTTTAATATGGTGCACACCGAGTGTTAAGACCCATTCTATGCTGACTAGGCATCTCAGGGCAATCATGCCAAATTTGGAAGCAGGAAAATTAAAACGTATATATATGTTTGGGGCGCTACGCATAAGAACATATATATACGTTTAGACCATTTAGGGGTTAAATCAGAATAGGATCAGGTAGGACCTCAAAGAGATCTGGACAGGCTGGACACCTGGTCCAGCAACTGGCTTCTCGAATTTAACCCAGCCAAATGCAAAGTCATGAAGATCGGGGAAGGGCAAAGAAGACCGCAGACGGAGTATAGGCTAGGTGGCCAAAGACTGCAAACTTTGCTCAAGGAGAAAGATCTTGGGGTGAGTATAACACCGAGCATGTCTCCGGAAGCACACATCAACCAGATAACTGCTGCAGCATATGGGCACCTGGCAAACCTGAGAATAGCGTTCAGTTACCTTAGTAAGGAATCATTCAAGACACTGTACACCGTGTACGTCAGGCCCATACTGGAATATGCAGCACCTGTTTGGAACCCACACTTGATCAAGCATGTCAAGAAATTAGAGACAGTGCAAAGGTTTGCGACAAGGTTAGTTCCAGAGCTAAGGGGAATGTCCTACAAAGAAAGTTTAAAGGAAATTGGCCCAATGACACTGGAGGACAGAAAGGTTAGGGAAAACATGATAACATACAAAATACTGCGTGGAATAGACAAGGTGGACAGAGACAGGATGTTCCAGAGAGGGGACACAGAAACAAGGGACCACAATTGGAAGTTGAAGACCCAGATGAGTCAAAGGGATGTTAGGAAGTATTTCTTCAGTCACAGAGTAGTCAGGGAGTGGAATAGCCTAGCAAGTGAGATAGTGGAGGCAGGAACCATACATAGCTTTAAGATGAGGTATGATAAAGCTCATGGAGCAGGGAGAGAGGACCTAGTAGCACTCATGAAGAGGTGGGGCCAGGAGCTGAATCTCGACCCCTGCAACCACAATTAGGTGAGTACACAGGCACTGCCCTTCCCACCTCCACGAGTAGTCTTGTTTACTAGTTTTCCTGATCCCTTCATAAAAGTTACCTTATTCACATTCTAACAGCACGTCCACTGAAACTACTTGTTTTCATTCACTTCTTTCTAACACACTCACACAAGTTGATATTATTTATAAGTAGTAGTTATTATTTTAAATAAAACTGTATTGTGTAGCCTAATTATTAGAAAAGACTTTTTCTTTTTATCACACAGTCCATCTCCCAAAAAAGAAATTAATTATAAAGAATTCACTTTAAAATATAAAAGGGCCCCAGAAAAGTCCACATCTACTGTGAATTAAATCCTCTGTCCTTTATCTCCAAAGATAAACTGAATTTTATATGTGGTATGAGAACGGGAAGAGGACTACCAACTCTAATCGGCAACAAGTTATTTACAGTAAAATAATTAAAATATAAATATGGTACCGTATACAAGTTTAGTCTCCATGGCATATGATAGAAGGCAGGTCATGGGTGCATTTTTTGCAAAAAAAAAAAAAAAAAAAATACTAAGACTTTTTATTTTGTAATCTAAATGTATCAAAAGAAAGCAAACTATCTGAGCATTTTTAGCAAACCTTTTTTGTGTAGATTTAAAAAAAATGCATTTTGGGCATACTAACACTAAATCTTGTAACCAGGACTAAACACTACAGGTCTCCCTCAACATTCGCGAGGGTTAGGGGATCAAGAGCCTCGCGAATGTTGAAAAACCGTGAATGTTTGGTGCCCCAATATATTGTAGGGAAATATATTACAATACTGCTTCCTTAACTTGTTGAACCATGAATAATCATAAAATACATGAAAACGTCGTAAACTGTACTAAATATATACATGTTATGCTTTAATAACGTATGTTATTTAATAACATGTATGTTAATAACATGTACGTTATTAAATACCACAGACTCCACCACTGCCTCCACCAATGCCTCCACCACTGCGAGTCCCTACTACCCTCCCTCCGACCCCAGCAACTGGCAGCCAGCCCTCCCACCACTCAGTGTGGTGAGTGTTTTGTTTATTCATTATTTGCTATTAAACTACAGTATAAATAATGTAAACCCATTCATGACTGCATATTGGAATGGCTATTAGGAAAGGTATTAGACAGTGACATCATGTGTTTACTCTTGAACACAGCAAAGAATCGAACATTTCTGCTATTGCTAATAATAACAATAGTAGTAATAATAATAATAATAATAATAAAATAATAATAATATAATAATAATAATAATAATAAAATATGATTAATTGAAGAAGGAAATTGTACAAAATACGAGGGAGTGGTTGACACATCATCAGTGTGACTTTGTTTATGCTGGAGTGAACATTAGTCTCCCTGCTCTTCCAAACGTTTCACAATAATTCAGCGGTTGAGGCAGTGGTATTTAATAACATATATGTTATAAATAATAATAGTACATGTTATTATTAATAACATGCATTATTATTAACATGCATGTTATTAAATACCATTGCCTCAATCACTCCAGTCACACTCAATCTACAAGCACCAAACACAATGAATTATTGTGAAATGTTTGGAAGAGCAGGGGGGACTAACGTTCACTCCAGATAACAAAGTCACACTGACGTTTGTGTAAACCCACTCCCTCGTATTTTTGTACAATTTCCCTTCTTCAATTATTCATATTTATTATTATTATTACTATTGTTATTTTTTAGCTGTAGCAGAAATTTTTTAATTCTTTGCAGTGTTCAAGAGAAAAACACGTGATGTCACCGTCTAATACCTGTCCGAATAGCCACTCCAATATGCAGTCATGAATGGGTTTACATTACTTATACTGTAGTTTAATAGCAAATAATGAACAATCAAAACACTTACCACACTGAGTGGTGGGAGGGCTGGCTGCCAGTTGCGGGGGTTGGAGGGAGGGTAGTAGGGACTCGCAGGTGGCGGGAAACTTAAATATGATTTGGCGGCTGGGAATTTGGTGGCTGGGAATTTGGCAGTTGGGAATTCGCGAATGTGTGAAGCCCGTGAAAGTTGAAAACGTGAATGTTGAGGGAGACCTGTGCTTAGCTTTGCATAGTTAAAATTCATATTATTTGAATGTTGGTTTGAAGGGACTGAAGCAAGATCTTGCCACAGCCATGTTGGTGTGAGATTCATCTGTAAAAACTTCCACTGTGGTTGCAGTAGGGCCCATGCTAACCATCCTAGTGTATAGAAATACAGTAAAACCTCAAATTAAAAGACCCAATTAAAGAATTTCTGAAACTGCAGACAAAATAATTGGCCAGATAAACATTGGAATCATTGAACAAAAGGGAAAAAATCTGTAGATTCCAGATTTTGTCCATAGTGATAGTCTCCAGTAGTCTTCTGAATCATCAGAGCATATCCAATGATTCCAACATTTATTTGGTACAGGCCAGAGTATCCCCTCTAGGACTTACCTGTTTTCATTGCTCCCTGAGCTATAGGCCACCCACATTAGTTTATTGTCTGTGCTCACTCACGCATACACTTGTCATTCAGTCTCCCATTTTCCCTTGATTTAGTGTTATTTGTGACATTATTAATATATTAAGTAAAGTGCAATTTACAATGGTTAATGTGCTGGTTTACATGTTGTCTCTCCACTAAAAAAGCACGTAAAATTACTGTAAATTACTGTAAAATTAATATACTATCCTTTATTGTACATGTACAGTACTGTCAACCTCTTCATTTTTATTTACAATTCCTGTATAGTACCATACTGTTTTATAGGTTACAATATTCTTAGTGTCCAATAGTATTCTGAGTCAACAGACAAGTTCACTTATTCCAAACTTTGTCCAATTATGTTACAATCACAAAAAATGAATTTCACAATTTAGAAATTGAGGATGACAAACAGCAACAACGTACACCCCCCTTCTACCTACAATTAGTCCATTAATTTGAGGGCTCAATGTATGCCTAGTTTGGCAAATCTTAATATGCTGGCATAGTATCATGATTAGTGCACTAGACTGAAAATTTTAGGGACTGGCTAACCATGTGTTCATAAGAACATAAGAAAGAAGGAACACTGCAACAGGCATACTGACCCATGCGAAGCAGGTCCATGCCACCCCCCCCCACCCCCAGCCTAGAACAATGACCACCTAGTCAGGTCACTTCCAATGAAGGAAGGAGCATATCACCACACCCACTCATGTATTTATCCAACCTATTTTTAAAACTACACGTCTTAGCATCTATGACGGTACTCAGGAGTCTGTTCCACTCATCCACAACTCTATTACCAAACCAGTGCTTTCCTATATCCTTCTTGAATCTGAACTTTTCCAACTTGAAGCCATTGCTGTGAGTCCTGTCTTGGCTGGATATTTTCAGCACGCTATTTATATCCCCTTTATTTATTCCTGTTTTCCATTTATACACCTCAATCATATCCACCCTAATTTTACACTTTTTTAGAGAGTGCAGATTCAGGGCCCTCAGTCTATCCTCATAGGAAAGATTTCTGATACATGGGATCAACTTTGTCATCCTCCTCTGTACATTTTCCAGTGCATTTATATCCATTCTGTAATATGGTGACCAGAACTGTGCAGCATAATCTAAATGAGACCTAACCAAGGATATATAGAGTTGAAGAACAACCTGAGGACTTTTAGTATTTATACTTCTTGATATGAAGCCAAGGATTCTGTTAGCTTTATTGTGAACACTTATGCACTGTTGTCTTGGTTTCAGATTACTGCTAACCAGAACTCCTAAATCCTTTTTGCAATCAGTAGCATTAAGATCTACACTATTCAGTTTATAAGTGGCATGGTTATTGTCCTGTCCAACATTTAGCACTTTGCATTTGTCTATATTAAACTGCATCTGCCACTTCTCCGACCACTGCATCAGTTTATTCAAATCATCCTAGAGTGCACTAATGTCCTCAATAGAATGAATTGGACGGCCTATTTTGGTGTCATCAGCAAATTTGCTTATGTTGCTATTTATTCCCTCGTCTATATCGTTTAAGTAAATTGTGAACAAGGGGCCCAACACTGACCCCTGTGGAACACCGCTTGTGATGTGCCCCCATTCTGATTTCTCCCCATTTATGTAAACTCTCTGCTGCCTATTTGTCAACTACGCCTCTACCCAGGAAAAAATTTCTCCTCCTATTCCGTGTGCCTTAAGTTTCCTCAAAAGTCTCTGATGTGGAACTCTATTGAAAGCCTTACTGAAGTCCATATACACAATATTATATTCATTACCATGATCTACCTCCTCAAACACCTTAGCAAAAAAAATTTGTAAATTCATAAGACAGAAAATGCCCCTTAGTAAAACCATT